AGACTAAAACCCCAGTTCCCAAGTAATGCCAGCCACAACATTGTGAATTCCTCAGGGAGGTACCAGTTTCATCCTCTTATCTCTCCCTCGCGCCTCAGGAGATGAAAGAAAATGTTTTTCTCCCTGATTCTGGCCTTCATAATTCCATTCCATCACAGATTACAAGTAAAAAAACATTACTATAGAATTCATGAATATGGTATTATAGTAAATTACATTTCGGAAACTGTTCATACACTTTAAATATAAGAAATAGTATAGATAGTCCTCGCTTAACAGAAATTGGAAAATTGGTCATTAAGCGGTGCCATTATTAAGTAAGTCACCACGTGACTGGACCCGATTTTACAACCATTTTTACAATTGTTGTTAAGCGAAACACTGCAGAATTTAAGCGAATCATGTGGTCTTGAAGCGAATCCAGCTTCCCTGATGGACTTTTTTTTTTTTGCCAGAATTCACTTAATGACCATGTGATTTCCTTAATGACTGTGGTGATTCACTTAACGACCATTGTAAAAAGGGTCACAAATCACAATCACGTGACTGCGGGAGGAGGTGCTACAGTTTGCAATGATCGTAAATGCAACTATAGGTCATAAAGCGCTTTTTGAGGCCGTCGTAACTTTGAACGATAGTTAAACGGTCGTTAAGCAAGAACTACCTGTACTGATGTAAAACATTTTAATCCAAAATATGCACATTAAGGTACAAGAGTAGCTTGCCATTGCCTCTTTCTTAAATGTTTTTTCAACTTCACATTTCAGTCTACATCCCAAGATTTCCTGATGGATTCCCATCCTAGTGCTTAATTTGTGTGATACTAGGAAATAGTTTTTCCTAGAAAGGCCATGGTTGGCTGTGGACTAAATCTATGAGTTGGTGGAAACTACTTGTACAAATTCATTGTGCTTATAAAACCTGTTTCTTTGTTTTTAATTTCTTATCTTTGTTAAAGGAATACTTCAGTGCAGTTATCTGTATAGTCCCTCTGATTCTACCTGTCACTGTAATTTTAGCTCTGAAATAGCCCAGTTGGATAGAGCATGTCTCAGATTTTACCTAAAAGGTATTTCATATTTACTTTTCTCCAGGTCAGAATAAGGTTCCTTACGTATTATCTGGCATACTATTTTGCAGTGGTTAAAAGAATGAAATGTATGTGTTTATATAAGGAATTTCTTATCTCCAGTTCTTTTATCATAAGTGGTAGTCACAGCAAACAGTTTTGTTATGCAAGAAATGTCATGGAAAAAACACTTTTTTCCTGTTATGAGGAATTGTACTCAGTCTTACATAGATTTCCTTCCTTGACAGGTGAGAAAGATTAAATTGTGCTTTATAATAAAAAATATAGAATAATTTTGACCAGTTTTCATTGCTACTTTTTGGAGCAGAGCATAGCTTTTCAAGCATTGTAGCTTCAGATTTCAAGATGAGACAAGAAATCCAGGTCCAGCTTTTTTGAATGAGACTGCTCAGGTTTTAAGGTTCTAAAACATAAGAAGCTTATTTTGTGAACTTGGTTTACAAAATAAAGATCCCAATGAGTCCTGTTTTTAATGGATCCATTTTGGTTTATACAGTGTTTAGGAGTGATATAACTTGATCGTGCTTGTAGATGATCTGCTCAACTAAAACTAGATTGTCTCTGTTGGTTTTGATGGAGCTGCCTAGTAATTTTCCATAACATAGTACATTTCTGAACTCCTGACAGGAATAAGCTTGAAATATACTGCTTTATGGTGACTCCAGTTCTACTTGAAGAGTCAATTTCAGTAGTTGTTGGCAACTTTTTTTCAGCATCTTAATTACCAGTGTATGGTTTTATTTAGTTCTAGATGCTAGTTATCATCATTCTACCTGGAACTGTTTGGATAGGTCATCTAGGGATTTTGTTTATATTGTTGCGGATATATAGCATGTACTAATAATAATCATGGTATCTTTCTGGACTACCTGGTGGAGTTGTACTGGATTTAAAAATTCTTCTGTGAGAAGAGAAGCCATGTCTCATGCATAAGAGAATGCGGGGGGGGGGGGGTATCCAGCCCCCGCTTTTTTTTTTTTTGAAAAGCTTTTCTAGCGGATAAAAAACTCTTTTACAATAGCTCTTCTAAAACTTTGCAATACCACAGTACACCAAACTACTTAAATTAGGAACACCTAATTTAAACAAAATAGAAAATGAAACATGTCTTAGTAACACACTTCATTTTTCCTTGCTTTTAATACA